GCATGTAAGCCTATGGACTGCCTCAGCTCTGTTCCGAATGATGGGAGATGCATGCTTGAGTTGCCTGGCGCAAAAATCCATTGCGATGCCCCGATTCGCCTCTGTTTGCAATTAATGCTGGAATGCTGTGCAAGGCTTTAAAAGGCCGTTGATTTCTGATTTGCTGCAACAGAGAGCAACAAAGGGGCATGGCAAAGTATTTTCACATATGTATGCATGACTACTCTTTAGGGAGTGTAGTCCTCGACCCTCGTGCCACCAATCACGCATCTCGATGCATGATGGCCGAGGAGTCGAATTGCACGACTCGATATGAAATGAATGCACATATAAACACAACAAGACCTAGACTCCCTCATGGATAATCCAGAGTGTCGGTGACTGGGAATTGAGACGCGTTCCGTCACTCGAAGTACGAAACGTCCCTCGTTTCCTATCCCAAGCACAATGCAATATGCATGACATGCATGAATGCAACTAGTATACAACCTAGCATGCACAATGCTATGAGATGACATACACAATGCACGATGTAACAAGGCATACACAATGCTCTAACATACAACCTAGCATACGCAATGCTATGAATCGAAATGGCATACACAATGCATAATGGACTTACACCAACATGAGTGGACCTCAGCCACACTCACATCAGTAGCCATTAGATGAAAATGAGACTCTCGAAGTATGCGCACGCATGCACGCAAACCGAGGACCGAACCTAAGGCAACAAATGCCACTCTACCAAAGCATGGCAAGGCATGGAATATGGAATGCAAATATGAAAATTTCAGCGCTGAAATGTGATACAAAACAGCCCCGAAACATGGAAACATGGCACCCGATGCATGGAATGAACCCCGAAATCCGAAACTAGGCACATGGAATGACTTACAGCTATACAAAGAATGCATTATTTGATCATGAAGCATGAAGACAGATTCAAGACAGTCCTAAAACATGCATATTTCCAGTTTATAATAAGTCTCAAAAATGAACACAAATAGGGCTAATCTATCATGCAAAAATGGCCCTAAAAGAGAGATTAAACACAAAGGGACAGCAGCTGGCCCCAAATAGAAAAGAGCCCTTCAACAAAGTTGAAGAGGGGATCAAAAAAAGGCACTTTACAGTTTATATCAAGTCACAAAAATAATCAAAAATAAGGCCAAACTATTATGCAAGAAAAGGCCTAAAAGAGTGGTAAAGAGACAAGTGGTTTCTTCTGTTCTCAAACAGAGGAGAGCCCTTCAACAAAGTTGAAGAGGGGCTCAAAAACAGATATTTCACAGTTTATGAAAAAGTCCAAAATAGCTCACAAATAAGCCTAAAATACTATGCAAAAATAGGCCTAAAAGAGAGTTAAAGAGGCAAGTGATAGCTTCTGGCCTCAAACAGAGGAGAGCCCTTCAAAAATGTTGAAGAGGGGCTCAAAAAAAGTTATTTTA